ACATATTGTAGATATACCTATATTAAGAGTGATTAGGAGAGCCAAGTAGATGCTTTTGGGAAACTGTACCATCTTGTCAATCGTTAAGTGTCTTGTTCTTCATAGAAATTGTTGCACTACAATCGCTTTTATACAGGTGGTGATACACATTACATACATGCACAAGATTTCTATGAGTTATGACTTGCCTCTTTTAGCTTATTTAATTTCACATAATAAAGATTGGATATTTTCTAACGTTCAATGGATGAGCATGATATTTTTATACCAAACATTCAACATTTGGTAATTTGATATACTAATATTTATGTAAAATGGGGTGTGATGCACGACTTTTAATTTATCATGTCTTTTCCTAAGAAATAAAAAATGCAGTTCATTAATACATTAAACCTTATAAAAAGATTGACATCGAACTGAAGAAGAATTTTGAGAAGATGATCATCATTGTAACATAGGAGTTGAGATATTATTTTCTTAAATAACATGATAATAATAGGCGTATTGTTAAGCCTACTGTAGTGATGAAACCTTGACCACCATGTCTAGGATATTTTTCAAGAAAAAGATTCTAGTTTAGAGTGAGTTAATTTTTTTGTATATAAAGTATACCACATACGAGTGTATTTATGTGCAGATACTCGCTTCGTCCCAGCTTAAACTTCTCACTTGCCTCATTGGATATTTAGTTGAACAGTCTCATTTGTATTTTAATAAATAATTGGCAATCTAAATGATAACTTAATCATTGAATATTAAAAACAGCACACCTATAACATCACATTTATCATCAATGACTTCATTATATTTTATACACATCACAACCACTTCTCAATATATACTCGAATCAACTTATTTTAATATTGTCTAAATACATGTGGCATTTTCAATAAGAAACTTAAGCTAGGTTGAAGGTAGTAAAAAGTAACTAAAGTTGAAATATGTATTACACCCAAGAAAAGTCATTGAAATCGTGCTCTTCAATGGTACTCAAGGTCTACAACTATGATCCGATCCATAACATCTAAACGTTTGAATGATCCACTAGAGTTGCAAATTTAATGAAGATCTAGATGAATAAACGTTGGTATTCGGTATAGAAATGTATATGACTTTATATCCTACATGAGTGGTGTCTTACTCTTAAATAGTATTCCATTTAAATGAATGATGATCTACGGACATAGAGTAAAAGGTGTGGAATTCCTAATAAGATTATTCAACACCCCTTTATGGCAATGGAAAGCTTAGTGTGATGTTATAAGATCTTAACATCATGTTGCGGTCATTGGCAAAGGACAAGTCGATTTGTATATGTTTATTGATGGCCTCCCAGATTTGTCTTCCAACCTGTAGAAACCCAATAAAAAATATAAGACGTTGTCAAAACTAGCCCGTTGTAGGTGATTATATATTCACCCGTATTTGTTATCCTTATGAACAATTGGGAGATGCGGAAGTAGAAAATGGGATATGAACCAAGGTGTACACCTATTATGGGGATTGAAGGTTAGGAGTGTGCTGTGAATAAACGTGCAAAAGCGAATTAGGTTTCCAATGTGTAACGATGCACACTCATTACAATGTGAAGTTGTTCATTTGGTTGGAAACATTTGCTTGATAACCCTTATTTAAATAATATTGTAAGAGAAACTAATTAGGAACACAAGTATATGTTATCATAGATGATAAAGTGACCAAAAATAGTCTCTTGGATAACAAAACAAGCCAAATGACATGTGTAAACATTCTAGCAATTTCCTTACACAAAGACATGAAGGACATGTAGGTGCTACATAATAACAACAAAGTACAATGTTGGTAAGATGGTAAGATATCAAAAGTTGATTTACGCCCATTCTTTTGCGCCTAACAAGTTTCATGGATTTGTCGATTTTGTGAGTTTCAATCTGGTTTCTGTTGGCTTTTTGGTCGGATTTCCACCCTGATACTATTTGAGTTCTTGGATTTGGTTTTTAAATGGTGAAATTTGGCCAATAAACCCAAAAAAGAGGTGATGTTCCCGGAAATTACTATTCACTGGCGATTTCCGTTCGTGTGGTTTCAGTAAATCTTTCTGAAATCGATTGAAGGGAGGGAGCTTTTCCTACGTTTTTTGCGTGATTTCGGTGTTTAATTTCGTAGCTACAGGTTATCTCTGAGCTTGGGCCGCTTTTTTAAACTCGAACGGGCATAGCGCAGGCACTGTTCATAACACGCATCTGTATTCTGAAAACAGAGCAGCTTTTCTCTGGTTTCTAAGGTTGATGCGGCTCCGTGGATATTTATACGACCCTAAATACCGTGCTTGAGCCTTCTGCTATTGTACGGGAACTTTGTTTTGGTGAACCTTCTCTCAGGCAACCTCCAATGTCAAAGAACAAGCAACAAGCGACACCAAACTTGACACCATTACACCAAAATGGGGAGGGGGAATGGTTTGCGCTATATATGGCTATGGCGTACACCATTTCTTGCACCATCCTCTTTTTGTGTTTTTTTTTTGCTTTCAAATGTGACCCAAAGTTTTGGTTATTATAGTTTTGACCCATTTTTAAAACAACAAATTAGGAAGTTTTACTTGGACTAAAATTTGTTGGTCCGGTCTGATTTGGTCTGGTCTGGTCTGAATTGATGTGGCTTGGTCTGATTTCTTTGTATTTTTATAACTACCCAAGTTTGGTCTAATCCGGTCTGATCTGATCTGAAACAAATTAATCTATTGCTTTAAGTTTAAGTAGTACTTTAATAATGACGTACGACTTATTATAATATTATTGAAACGTTTAATTTTATGTGGTTTTAGCTTGTATTTGTGAAATATTGATTATTGTGTTTTAATTAGTGAAATGCGTGAAAATACATATTAAAATGACGTATTTTAGTTTGTATGTGTGAAATAATGTGTGAAATGTCAAAATATTAAATGAGGGGCTAATGTATAAATATAAGATAGTTAAATACTTAAATAGAAGAATGATAAAAAGTTAGTAAAAAGAATAAAAAAAGAATATTCCTTTTTGGTGATGAAAATGGTGTAAACTGTTGGAGATAAAATACTGTTTGATGTGATGTTTACACCATTTTAGTGTAAAAAATGGTGTTAATTGTTGGAGATGGCCTTAGGACTAGGTCATCTTTTGCTGTATTGGAGAATTCTGATGAGGACTTCCCGGTTCTGAGCCCCGGAAACCTGTCCAACACTGGTGCTAAAACTGCTCTTGCAACTGGGCAGTCTGCAAAATCCCTGGGCGTTAATAAGAATGTGGCGCTGGGCAGTGTTGCTGCTACTGGGAAGGTTACTGAACCTGCTGGGAAGACTCCTGCTGCAAAGACAACCCCTGATGCTATTGAACCTGCTGCTAAAACTCTGGCAGTGAACACTGAGTTTGTGAAAGAGAGTACTTCGGCAGAAACTCTAAAGCAAAAAGCGCAGGTGGATCCTAATGCTGGGCAGATTGCAAAAAACGGCAACAACTCCTTGGAATGCTCTTTTTAAAGACAATTGGGATCCAAAGCACGGCATCAAATTGAGATACGTCCCTCCCAAAGGTGATACTTTGGACTTTGGTGACCGGATACTACCCTCGATGGTTGAGATGTGGGGCCATTGTCTAGTGGGACACTTCACGGGAAAGTTCCCCGGACTCAAAGCGGTTCACGCTATGAAAGCTACATGGGGAGTTAAATGCCTAGTAAGGTCTCATAATAAAGATTGGTTGATTTTTAAGTTCCAAAATGAGGAGGATAGAGCCAAGGTACTACATGAAGGACCTTATACGGTGTTTGGGAAACTCCTAATGCTTAAAGAACTTTCGGAGGACTTCACTTTTGAGGATGAGGAATTTCTAAAAATACCAATTTGGATAAAGTTTCCTAACCTACCAATGAGTTTATGGAATGATGAGGCTATGTGTGAGGTGGCATCTATGGTCGGGATTCCAATAACCACGGACAAAATCACTCAAGAGAGGGCAAACAATGATTATGCTAGAGTATTGATAGAGGTTGATGTTTCCAAGCCACCACCACTGCACTTTCCTATACGGTTACCTTCCCGAAAGGTAATTAAACAAAGTGTGGTTTATGAAACGTTTCCTAATTTTTGCTTTCATTGCAAAGAATTTGGGCATCACCCATTTATTTGTAAGAAGCTAGCCAAGAGGGAAGATGTAGCAAGAAAGAATGATTGTAGCTTGGAAAAGAATGGGAAAATAGGGATTGAGCTTACTGGCCTGGCAGAAACTGCCCAAGGGTCAAACCCGACAGGGTATGCCCCTGGCCCGACCGGGCCACGTGCCCAGCCTAGAACAGCTGCTGCCTGTGTCCCTTACCCGCCCGGATTCGGACCAGACCCGACCGGGTCTTCACAAAAAATTGCCCAGGGACTGCCATGGTTGAGAAACATGCTCAGGGGCCTTCCAAGCTTCCTGTCGCGATTGCTGTTGTACCTCCGCTTGCTGCCCAGCCTACAAAACAGGTTGTTGAGAGATTGGAACCAAGTAACATCGAGGTGGAGAACCCCGATCGTGCGGATTCCGAAGAGGAGGACTCTTCAAGTGAGAAATCGAGTGACACTATGGACTCAGATATGTTTCACGAGGTCGAGATAACGTGGAGAGATGGAAGAAAGAAAACTATTATAACAATGAAGCCACAAAAAGACTACGAAGATTTTTGAATTTTTGTTTTATGCTTTGGACTGTTTTGAACTAAATCGGGGCCAGTCCCGTGCTAGTTTATATTTCTTTTCTGAGGTAGGGGAAGGTTTGGATACTATTTATAGCTAGTATAGACTAGCTTAGATAGTTTTGATGCACTGTACTATGCTATTTTTCTGGATATATATATTTACATTTTATCCAAAAAAACAAAGTACAATGTTTGTGAGAATTTCTCATGAACACATTCGATAAGAACTAATTCATAACACACACCTTTATCATTGGTGACAATGGGAAAACAAAATTTCCTTTTCATAACTAAACCAACCAAATGGCATGTGAGTACATTATTACAATTGCTTGTAAAGATAAATTAAGGGCATGTAGGTGCTACATAATAACAACGACAATGTTTGTCAGGAGTATCCCATGAACATGTTCCAGATGAACCTGGTCCAAATTGCTTAATACACGTGGGTATACAAATTTGCCCCAACGGAACTGCACCTTCACATGGGAGATTTGTATTTACCGGATCAACATAGCAAGTTTTATCACCGTTTACATAGAGATTTTCAGGAAGCATAAGGTTAACTGCAAACAAATATATGAGTTTAGTATATTAAGAACAACATAATTACTAACTAGATATTAGAAAATACCAACCCATTTGCATGCGGAATATGTGTGTGGAATACAATTTTTTCAATGGGACACGATTTTTTTTAAATAAATGTCTATTATATTCTTATCAAAAGTGCGATACAAATATCATTGTTCTAAAATAAATATGTATTACAAGATCCATATAATATACTTTGAGTACTGATTTTTCATTTTCTAGCTTATATATCATTCTCATATTTTAGTACACCTAACAGGTTTTGTAATGAAAGAAAATTCATTAAGCATTTCTTAATTTTTTTAAATAAATTTCAAACTCCGTTGGATACAAATTTGTGTTTTTCTAATTGTGCTTTATTGATGTTCCATTCCACTCAAAGTTACATGTTTGGTGCTACCTCATGAAGAAAACATAAGATATAGAACATATTGTAGATATACCTGTAGTAAGAGTGATTAGGAGAGCCAAGTAGACGCTTTTGGGAAACTGCACCATCTTGTCAATCGTTAAGTGTCTTGTTCTTCAGAGAAATTGTTGCACTACAATTGCTTTTATATAGGTGGTGATACACATTACATACATGCACGAGATTTCTATGAGTTATGACTTACCACTTTTAGCTTATTTAATTTCACATAATAAAGATTGGATATTTTCTAACGTTCAATGGATGAGCATGATATTTTGTCACTATAAGAAAACCCATCTTTTACCCATACATGCAAGTGCAGGTAAAACTACCATTTTGTGTAGGGAATAATCTTTACTCACACATATTCTAAGTGTAAGCATGTGTGGGTATACAACCGTAGCAAAAAGTTATTGCCCACACATAGATTTATGTGTGGGTAAATATAGTACTTACAACCACACATGTATGTATAGGTAAAACACAATCAAATCTGTTGCTATTGGTCTTGTACATGGGAAAATAAGTGACCATGTGGCATATGATGTGGAAGTGTTCATGTGTAGGTAAAAATAATAAACGTGTGTAGGTAAATTGTATATGATTCATCTCCATGTATGCAGATAAATTTTGTGTGTAGTTAAAACTGTATTTACATGTGAATAAACGGTGTATCTAAATGTAGCTATTAATATTCATATTTATTTTACTGAATCCAACTATAAAATAAGATACTCATTGATATCACAATACCTTTTAAAGTGAATGACACGTGATTTAATATATTAAAGAATCCGTAAATGGGAAATGCATAGTAAAGATAAAGTTAAATACTTAAATACTATATAACCGTTCAATGTGTAATGTTGAATTTCAACAATCGCCATACATAGGCCAACAATCTTAGTCATTAACTAAAAAAAGTATCAAGTCTAATATCAATGCCACTACTCAATATCATCACATTTGGGAAGTAGTTCTCAACTCTTCAAAGCCTCGTCGGGAGTTAATCTTTCATAAAAACTGACTATTCCAGTAGTCCCGTTTCTGACAAAGCTATTAACTGCATAATACACACAAATTTATAGTGCCATCCTGCAAGATGAATGAAAGAGGAAACTATTTTTACAAAAACGAAAATAAATTTGCATTCTTTATTCAATTGCTTTGTCTAAAAGAATACCTTAAAGAGATGAAGACCTCAATGTGACATGATTCCTGTGTGTTCACTATCATAATTTGTTGTTCTTTCTGTTACAACATAATCAAACCTTTAAGTGTTGCAGAGAGAGCTGATTAAAGACAAAGAACATAACTTGTAAAGAAATATTTTCTTTCAAATTCTGTACTGTGGTGTATAACATGACTCCTATTTGACTAAAGTGCCAAGTAACATTTAAGAAAAAGTGAGCTTTACCATAGATACATTTTTCTCTCCATGGATATATATTTTAGAAATACAAAAACTAACACCGGTATTTTAGAATCTTTTCCACAAGAGCACTCTCTTTCGTGTTCTAGTTCGTGATTCCTATGAAATAATTTCAATTAATGCCATGGCATAATAATGTGCAATTAAGAACCCGTGAATCTCATTACCTGGAGCTTCGGAATGCAAAATATGTGAGTCAACTAGTATACAACCATGTTTGTGACTTATCTGCATACAATCAGAAATTAAATTTATCGAACCTGTGTGGTTGTCGAAAGTCCAAAACAATATTGCATTAGGTTATCATTAATCCTTTTGCAAACATAGTGTGGCTCGTGGAATGATTCAGCTGGTTTAGACAAGAAAAGGAAGAATTACTTCAGAGTATTGTAATGAACATCATTTTTATAGTTATTATCTTATAGTTTTAAACTGCATAACTGAACGAGACAAGTAAATGCACTATAAATAGAAAGTCCATTTGCTCAGCCATACTAATGACATGAGATATGATGTCATGGTGCTCCTGTAGGATATAATTAACTAAAACATTTAGCCTTTAATTACCTGCTTAGAATATGACATTTTCCTTTTATTTTTTATAATATCTTTTGTTTTGTTTTTGTTTTATCAAGTTTTATTAAAACTTTCTAGTTTGAATATAGGCCAAAACTTTTTAGTCTTAATATAGGCCTATGTGAGTAACGATATGTCATATGTAGACATAAAGTAAACCAGCCTTTAACATAAGATATGCAGAATAATAAAAATCACATGTTGATTAACACAATAGTTTGATGGCAGTAGCAACACAAGCCTAAAGGTAGCAAACCAAAGGAAAAACTTAAAGTGAAAAGAGCATGTTATAGCCTTTAATATTAGACTTCAACGGGACTAAAGTAGCACTAGGTAATGAAAGCCATATCTTGTTCTAATTGAAGTGCTGGTGCAATCAGCCATTGGCATAATTAATATGAAACTGGTCAAAGCTATTTCTCTAAAATTGGAAGGCAAGTGAGTTGTGTTTGCAAATTAAAGCAAAAAATAACTTAATCAAATAATAAAACAGGTCATACCTCTAGTGATTTGAAACAATAACTACCAAGAATACTAGTAAATCTCTCAGTAAGGCGCTTTCTAATCACAAGTGATTCTACAATCAAATTAGGCAGGAGTAAATCGATTATCCGGAAACATTTCCATACATGTGTTCCTCCAAGACCTGCAAACTTCAGCACAAGTTGATAAACACGAATTCATTTTTCTCAATTAAATATTAGATACAATACCTACAAACGGAATGTTAGAGTAATCAGCAGTGCCAAAATTACTTTGATCCTCTAGCTGATGCTTCTGAATTCTGATTGTTTTCAACATGCCCAAAACGATAGCCCTCAACTATGAGATAAAATACTAATTGGATATCATTTTCTGTTGGTGTCTTTTTGTTACTAATGATAATGATGATGATCATCATCATCATAATAGTAACTATTACTCCGTAATAAATAGTTAAAAAACTTGAACCAGTCTAAATGTAATGGTAACATAATAGTAACAATAATAATAAATAGTTAACTAGTGATCAGTACTTACTTGTAATAAAAAGAAAATATAAGTGAATTGTTTTACTTAAATTATTTTAAAGTGAACTGTGTAATTTGAATAAATAGAAAATTAGTCCATTAATAGAGCATAATCATGGAATTGAATTAAAATTTAAAAATTAAAGATACATAAGTTAGACCTTATGATAGCAGAAAGACATATCAATGAGTCGAATACATGTAAATTAAAATAAGCAAGAATATATATCTTTGTCTTTCGTGGCCAAGAAGAGAAGATTCCAGGAGGTCGGCTACTGGCTGATTACAATCCTCTTTTTCGGGGAAATGATATCTTATCCTCCAAGGCCCAAGGAAAAAATGGTCAGCTTTAGTGAATCTTATTTCAGCAAGGTATGATGATTATCTAGTGGAAAGGTCAGGTTAGGACAGCTGTGACCATAACAATGCACAAAATCACAAAAGCATTTCAGATTAATCGAATTCAGAAATTAAAACCTCAAATGATCGATTTAGGTTTCATCTGCGAATTTTCTTTCAATTACAAATTTAAGGTCTTACTGATGGGCTATTAGAGTAAGAACAACGTCAACATTGCTAGGCCTATCAACGGAATTGAGAAAAGGATACACGAAGAGAGAGTGATGGCCGCTCCGCCGCCGTCCCTGCCGAAGAGCATTTGAAAGCGAAGGACGTCACCGCTCCGTCTCCCGCGGAATGGATCGAGAAAGGCAGAGCTGTACGGAAAGGAAGCTTTGACGAGTGCATCATCCGCGGAGAGGAATCCTATCCAGCTTAGTCCTCTTCAATCCTCGATTCCACTTGTGTTCCCAACCGATCGTCCATGATTGCGGACTAAAGAAGAAGGAGCAGAGCCAGAACCGTCAGAAAGAAATCGAGGAAAGAGGTGAAGTGGTAGGAGTAGGGTTATTGGGGGGGTTACGGTGACATGGGTAATTTTATCTTTATTTTTCATACATAGTACTATGCGTATTTTTTTATTCTTGGTTTTTTCCACACTTTTTCAACATGTGTTATTTATGTGTATCTAATAATACAATCATTACTTACACATAAATAAATAAATAACATGTGTAAGTAATTTCACGCATTAAAAATCCACATCAGCTTTCGCTTCACAAGTTGCTTCCCGCTAACACGTAAAAAATTTGAGGCAATTTTCCCTCTAAATTTTTAACGTGATGAAAAGTTTTTATCCACACATAACTTGTGTAGTTGATGTAGCCTGTTCCATTTAATTAATTACCTACACACTTTCGAATTATGTGTGGCTAAATACCACACTTAATATGTGTAGTTATTTTAAGTGTAGGTAAAACATCTAATTTCTTGTAGTGTGTTACCAAACATTCAACATTTGGTAATATGATATACTAATATTTATGTAAAATGGGGTGTGATGCACGACTTTTAATTTATCATGTCTTTTCTTAAGAAATAAAAAATGCACTTCATTAATACATTAAACCTTATAAAAAGATTGGCATTGAACTAAAGAAGTATTTTGACGAGAAGATCATCATTGTAACATAGGAGTTGAGATATTATTTTCTTAAATAACATGATAATAATAGGCGTATTGTTAAGCCTACTTTAGTGATGAAACCTTTACCACCATGTCTAGGATATTTTTCAAGAAAAAGTTTGTAGTTTAGAGTGAGTTAATTTTTTTTATATAAAGTATACCACATACGAGTGTATTTATGTGCAGATACTCGCTTCGTCCCAGCTTAAACTTCTCACTTGCCTCATGGGATATTTAGTTGAACAGTGTCATTTGTATTTTAATAAATAATTGGCAATCTAAATGATAACTTAATCATTGAATATTAGAAACAGCACACCTATAACATCACATTTATCATCAATGACTTCATTATATTTTATACACATCACAACCACTTCTCAATATATACTCGAATCAACTTATTTTAATATTGTCTAAATACATGTGGCATTTTCAATAAGAAACTTAAGCTAGGGTGAAGGTAGTAAAAAGTAACTAAAGTTGAAATATGTATTGCACCCGAGAAAAGTAATTCAAATCATCATCTTCAATGGTACTCAAGGTCTACAACTATGATCTGATCCATAACA